CCGGCCAGGGCCAGCGAGGGACCCCAGGGCACAGCAGCCCGCCCCCTGTCTCCGTGCTGCCCCTCAGCAGTGTCTCAGTGGATCCACCTGTTCTGCTCCCCACGCTGTCTCTGGAGCGTCCTCTCACTCTCCGCACTTCCGGCCTGGCCCCAGTGCTGTGTGCATAAATAAGTCATTAAAAAAAAAAAAAAAAGTATGGGAAAAGCAATCCAGAAGGGGACGAGTGCACCTGCATCCACGGAACTCCAGAGCTGAGCCCGCCAGCCTCACCAGCACCCTTTCTCAGAAAGCCCCACAGCCAGGGAAGAAGACTCGGTGCAGGCAGGAGACGCCAGTGGGACTCCCGGGCCGAGCCGGCAACAAACAGGGCGCGTCCCCTCCACAGGCACTGCAGACGCCCTCCCTGGGAAGCGCACACGGCAATCTCTGGGCTGGGGGGGTGGTAAACACGGACCTGATGGGGTCAGGCGCCAGTCAGGGGCCAGTGAGGGGCCACTCGTGCTGTGAGGAGAAAACGCTGTTACTGAGCACCCAGGAGCGCCCACAGAAGGTGCACTTACAGGTGCCCAGCAGAAGGGCAGGAAGCCCAGACCCAGGAGGGGGCTTCAGAGGGAAACGCTGGCCGGCTTGCTGGCAGCCGGCCTCACCTAAGCGCAGAATTGAGAAGGTGACAGTAAGGAAAACTCCCGAAAAACGGCCGTGCGAGAAAGGAGGCGCGGGGACCGCGGGGGCAGCGCCGCCCTGGCCGGGATGCGCTGGCCTGACCACACCTGTCGCTGCCCCCGGGCTGCCCGGGGACGAGGTGATGCCGGCGGCTCCCTCCTTTCCCAGAGAGGCAAGTGACGACACCTGGAGAATCAAGGCAGGAAAGATGAAGGCGCTTTTAAAGGGACGAGCGGCCCTGGCTGCGCATCGCGCGGCCGAACCTGGCGGCGCCTTACCGCGACAAGCGACACCCACCTGAGCGCCTCCGCTAGTCCGCTAGTCCGCGACGCGGGCGCCTCTGCCTGGACCCTGGGCAGCTCTGCCCCTGAAGACAAGTCAGGCGGGGGCAGCGGTGTGAGCGCTCCTCTTTAGCAAGAAACTAAAAGGAAAAGAAGCAAGTAAATATCCGGGCAAGAGGACGGAGTGAGGCAGGCAGCCTGGCGCCGGCTCGGCGCTGACCAACGCAGGCCGGGCAGCACCTGGGCTAGGGGCAGGGCAGTTGCAGATTCAGTTCAGAAGGTCCCAGGGACTTTCAAATAACTCAGGTAAGTGTAAGCAGGAAAACATGCACGGAATGTGAAAGCCCCAGGAAGTCTGGAAGGAGAGCCTCGCAGGGGTCTCCTGGGGCTGAGCCAGGCGGAGACACTTTCCTGGCTACTACACCAGAGCCTGGCCACTGTCCCTGAGCGAGGCAAAGCGCCCCGGGAGGGGCCGGCCCTGAGGAGAAGGCAGGTGGGGCAGAGCGCCCCCTGGAGGGAGGGAGGGGGCAGCAGCAGGGAGGGCAGCTGGCCGGAGGCAGGGACCCCCGGGGCCAGGCCCCCAAGAGGCAGGCACCCTGCGGGGCAGCAGGGCTCCCTGGCACCAGCTGGAGGAAGGGGGGAGCCTCACCCAGGGCCCCACTTACCCCCAGCCCCAGCCTGGAGCCAGCACTGGCCACAGGGGGTCCCCCGTGAGCCTGCAATCGCCCCACTGGCATTGTGAGGTCACAGTGTGCCCAGTGAGGAGCAGCAGACAGCGGCGTCCTGCCAGGGGCTGGGAGCTGCCTTGGGGCCTGGCCTGGCGGGGCCTCTGCTCTTCCATCCCGTCGCCTCCAACCGCGCCAGTGGCACTGGGGCTCTGGGCTCAGGGCCCCTGCAGGGCGACCCCACACAGCTGGTGCTGCCCTTAAGCACACCACAGGGCAGGCACCCCACTGGGGGGCAAGTAACCCTGGGGCTCCCGCCGGCAGGGGCAGTCTAGCAGGCTCAGGTCTCCTGAAGGTGCAGTGGAGACCCGAGGTCCCCCCCACTGGCGCCGCGGGGGTCTTCTGCAGAGTAACCCCAGGGAGCATACACCCCACCCGGAGCCACCCGACCATGTATGCCCTGAGCAGGACCCCACTGCCTGATGGCGAGTGAGTCACCCCTCACAGCCTAGTGCCCCCTAGCCTGGAGTGGGGGCACCCGCCAGCCTTGGTGGGAGCCTGTGCACTGGGCACGTGCGTAGCAGCGGCAGCACCTGGAGGGCAGATGTAAGTGGCCCTGCCTGCCAGGGTTCTGGGCAATGGAGCCCCGTCCCCGCCCAAGACACCAGCTGGGGGTCAGAAGACGGAAAGTCGCATGCAATCTGAGGCAAGTGACTCCGTCAACCTCGACTTCCCCAGCTGGACAATGGGCTCACTCCAAACACTGTCCAGGCCCCACACAGACACCAGAGCTGCCGTAGCCCACAGGGACAGTCTGCTGCCCACACGACAGGGGTGGTGCTCGCCAGGCCCCGCACTCCGGTCCCCCAGTTCTCCCCGAGTGTGCTGGCAGGCTGGTGGCTCCCCAGAGACCCCCCCCCCCAACTCTTTGAGTATTATACAAAGGGGGAACTGAGCTTGCTGAAGACTTGGCTTTAAACTACGGGAGGACCCAGGCGTGCCCGGGCTGGCAGTGGTGAGGCCCCGCTGTGGGCAAAGCAGACATGGTGGGGACGCAGCCTGAAGCCAGGGTCAGCTTTGCAGTGGAAGGGCCAGGGCAAGAGAGACCATGGCACTCGGAGCTGCAGGGTGAGACGCGCCCTCCCCAGGCCTGGAGAAGGGGGAGCCCCGCCACCACTCGACTTCAGGCGACAATGACTCATGTCTGATTTGACCAGAACTGTAAAATAACAAGTGTGTTCTCTGAAACTGCAATGCTGGGGGCCTCCCTAGTGGCCTAGGAGTTGGGGCTCAGCACTATCACCTCTGCAGCACAAGTTCCATCCCCAGCCAGGAAGTGACGCCCAGGGAGCAGCAGCCCCTTCCAGTCTCCCTGCTGCCCCCTCAGCAGTGGGTTTCAGGGGATCCACCTGTTCTGCTCCCCACCCTGTCTCTGGCTTGCACCCCAGCTCTTTTGTGCATAAATAAAAAAAATCTTTAAAGAAAATATTTTGAAAACCCTGCTGCTGGTTTCACCCATAGCTGGAGCACAAAGGAGCAGGACGGGAATAATAATAATAGTGAACAACTATATACCGGCGACATCTTGGGGGGGGTGGGATCAAAAACGGGGGACGGGGAGTGCACTGGGCTATGGTGATGCACACGGGTGAATTGGTGATGGGAAGCCCGCAGGGATTACACATGAGATGGAAAAAGGCACAAAATGATGTAAAAATAAACTTCTTAAAAAAAAAAAAAAAACCCGCTGCGCCGCAGCCCCTTGCTACAGCACCTTTCGGGAGGCTCCACACCGGACGCGGCCCGCAGCCCCGGCCCGCCAGGCCCCACCGCCCCAGGCTGAGGGGCGGGAAGAGCTCGGCGGCTCCTGGTCCGGCTCTCCCTGGCACCTGGCACCTGGCACCGGCCCGCGTGCGGCCACCCGGGAGCGCACTTCATGCTGCTCAGTCGCAAACTCGCGAGCTGCAGTCCAACCTGGAGCGACCAGCCGGGAAATTTAGCCCAGACGCGAGCCGCGCAGGCATCGGGTTCAGGTGAAAGGTGGCGCCCCACGCTGACAGCGAAGCAGGGAAGGGGTGCGGCGGGGAGCCCCCACCCCAGAACTCCCCTACGCCAGCGAGGTCAAGAGAGGGGCTGGGAACGGCGAGGCGTGCCGGGCGCTGGCCTCCCAGCGCCAGACGTCCCCAGGAGCCCCGGCAGGGCTCTCCCGGC